ACTATTAATGCATTCAGAACTTTTAATTTATTCTTCTCTATCACTTCTGGAACTGAATTATCTAATAAATTGATAATACCTAAGATAATTAAGAGTGGACTGCTACAAACTTCTAAATGATTTGGATATATTATAGGATTATATTATATTATATATACTCTATAATTTAACATATATATAAATAAATATATATATATAACATAATGGTTTAGTTCGGTCTAGTTCGATCCTAAAGGACCTCAAACCGTGACCAAACCGTATCTTTACGGTTTCACAAATTTAGAACCGTAACCGAACCAAACTATTAACAAATCAAACCAAACTGTTTGATCCGGTTTGGTCTAGTTTGGATTTTCAATTTTACCGGATTTTTGTGCACCCCTAGGACTCAGAGGAATTTATTTGTATCTTTTTTTAATATTGTGGACTGAAATGCCCATTTTAAAAAAGGAGGGCCTCATTGTGCACATAATCTAACCCTTACAAATTTATTAAAGAGCCAAGTCTATCAACAGGGTGCTCTCATTAAATATATGATTAAAATAGTTGCTAAACTACACTTGATGACAAAGCATTAATTCATATCATGTGATCAATCTTCAAGAAGATATGGAAAACCATAACCAGATTCTTAATATAAGCATTGGCTAGGACAGCATTTCATAGCAAATATTTACGAAAGCTATTTAAGCATTTAAAAATCACAATTATGTTCTTCCCTTTTCTTTTTCTTTTTTCTTTTCTTTATGGGTCACAAAACCATCCACTGATTGGCGGTCATAATTATCAGCACTAAGTGAATATATGATAATCAAATTATAAAATTGTGTAAATTGGAGTGCTATAACATTCATATTACGGTGACATCACTGTTTAAGCAAATAAGACGATACGAGTGTGCACTTGTCCTATATCGCTAGTGCAACACACTACATTCTTGTAGGAAAACAACTGCATCACGAAATGCAAAACCATAAGAGAGTAACGTTGTTATATAAGCTATGTAAGTCTGTACAAGATTAAAACGACACAAGATTAAGATTCTACAAAGTAAAAAGAATCTGACAGCTCGAGATTGAGGAGATACTAAATTAAAATTAAAAAAAAAAAAAGGCAAAAGAAGGATCCAACTTCCAAGAGCTACTAGTTTATGTGATATTATATATGATGAGAATCATATGAAGCCTGAAGGAGACAAAAGATAGTGCATTACCTTATCATCATTGAATATAGAGTGTGGATGTGGTCTCCTGTTTTCAATCTTCGGCCTGCGCATTAAGACAATCATGGTGCTGGGCCTCTTCATTGGCTTTTGAATGTTTGCGTCCACCTCGAACCTCAAAACAACACCAATACTTTGAAAAACCTTAGATTTCAGCCCGCAAAAGCAAGCACCTTTGGGGATTCAAAATTGTCAATCTTCACTTGATGACTTGTTGAGTGTAGAGAATATGGTTGTTAACGACTTCGATTTTTTCCCTATATGTGCCGTTATTGATGATGATTTGGCGCAGACATATTGCTTACTAACTGCTCGACTTTTTTCCCTTGTGAGCTATTGTGGATGATTTGGCTGCTTGGACAACATGCCTGTTAACCACTTTCAATCCTATATGGACCATTATTGATGATTTTGCACTCGAGATAAAACACATCCATACCAACAAAACTAGTGTAACTGGAAATCGTTGGAGCCATGTGTATTTATTGAAGTGATATCAAAGGTTTAATTTGATAATCACTTGTGCGAAGTAAAATATTGAAGTGTGTTTGGTGATGTTTATTGTAATTTGAATAGTATCGAAATATTTTTAAAAAATAGATCAAAACGAAGTTACTTATGTACTCGTAAAATAAACGTTGTAACGATCAACAATGCAAAAATAATAATAATAATAATAATAATAAAATATTTAAATTACCTTTTTAATAAACCATTTTAAATTTGAAATATATTTTTTTTTATCAAATATGTTCAAATTTTACCAAATATATTTTTGATTATTATTAAACACACTAAATAATGATCAAATAAGGACCTAAATGACTTTTCAAATTTGACAGAGAGTAGCGCAATAGTGATTTTTATGTGAAAATGGGTCAACAATGACTGGATCAATTAACCAGTTTTGTCACTTTGTGTTGTCATATTGGAGACTTGTGGCAGCACTTATTCGATTCAATGGACTTAGGTTAAAGTTATCCAACAACATATCCCAATCTCCGGCCTACAAGAAATTTCTGGGCTGGACCAGGCGGAGCCTGGTCAGGTCAAGTTGATTTCCTTAATGGGACGGGCCAGGTTATATGTAATGTTAATAACCTAAGAAGCATTAAAGCTACAAACGAAATGAGCATTGCCAAGTTCAATAATTTTTTTGACTCATTATGAATTGGGTCAATTCAGCGCAGAAAATACCATAAAATATATTTACAGTGTATATCACATCATTCACGTATAAAAAGCATTTCTAAAATTTTAATTTGGTGCAAATAAGTCTATCTGACAAATTTAAACCCTAATGCTACGTTTGGTGTGCAGGAATGAAATGCCCATTCCAACCATTCTTTTGTTTGGTATGTAGCTTAAAGTAGGAATGAAAATCCATTCCACAACTAAACCTATGGAATAGCCATTCCATTCCCAAGTAATTTATTCGACTTCCCAAAACATCCTCATATTCCAAGTCCAAAAACCACCATTACCTTCCACCACAATTATTTCCGCTTTTCACCACTACCACCACTATCACTGTCTTCCACCACCACTGACTTTCACCATCACCCACCACTTTCCACCACCACCACCGCCACCGCCTTTCACCACCGCTACCGCCACCGCCACCGCCACCACCTTCCTCCACCGCCATCGCCTTTCACCACTACCACCACCTTCCACCACCACCGCCGCCATCGCCATCACCTTTTACCACCGTCATCGCCTTTCACCACTGCCACCACCTTCCACCACCACCACCGCTACCGCTTTTCACTACCACCACCGCTACCGCCTTTCACTACCACCACCACCACCACCTTCCACCACCGTTACCGTCACAGCCTTACACCACCACCGCCACTGCCACCTTTCACCACCACCACCGCCGCCGCCGCCTTCCACAACCACCAACGCCGCCACTATCGCTTTCCACCACCGCCATCGCCTTCTACCACCTTCTATCACCACCACCACCTTCCACCACCGCCACCACCTTTCACCACCACCACTTTCCACCACCGCCACCACCTTTCACCACCACTGCCGCTGCCGCCTTCCACCACCACCGCTATCGTTAATTTAATTTAATTTATTTGTTACTAAGAGGGATATTTTGGAGAATTCAATTTAAAATTTATTCCATTCTAAATTTTAAATCGGTCCAACCAAACACTACAATGGTTATTATCATTCCATTCCTACACATTTCATATTTACAACCAAATAATATAATAAGAATGACCATTCCATTCCATTCCCATTCTCATTCTATTCCCATTTGTATTCCATTTCATTCCTGCACACCAAACGTAGCATAAGTTGAATAAATTACCCTTACTGAACCATTTTATAAAATATATAAAAATAAATAATTTTATAAAATGACCGAAAATGACATTATTGGAGGACGTCCCTCAAGTGCAAAAAACACCTCTAAAGTTTCAATTTGGTACAAATAGGTCCTTCTGACAAATTTAAATCCTAAGTTGACTAAATTACCCTTACTCAACAATTTTATAAAATATATAAAAATAAATAATTTTGTAAAATAACCAAAAAGGACACCATTAAAGGACCTCGGCAATGTACAAGTAAAATAAAAATAATAAAAATAATAAAAATAAAATAAAATAAAGTGCAAACTAAAGAGAACAAATTTGCTCTAAACTCATTTAAGGGATGTCTCCACACCTTTGTCTTGTTTTATTTCTCCTCTATTCCTTTTCGCTTTTTTACACATTGATTTGGCTTACATTTTGATATGAAAAATGAGAACAAAATTTCAGGCCAAAGAACAAATAGAAAATATGTTATTGGACTTTTTAAACTTATTTTTTGTTTTCTACAATTTTTCCTCACTAAATTTTTAAATTTGAGTTGGTCCCCATTACTTTAAAACAGAATTTACAAATTTCTATTATGTTATGAAACTTGTCCCGATCATTTTGTTGTATATTTGGGTCGTGTTCTTGCCATGTTCCCGCTTATTCATGTTGGATACTATCCAACAATATCATTGCATTTCCAACTAAGTGGTGTTTGGGATTGCTTCTCTACTACTGAAAAGCACTCCCATTCTAAAAAATTGCGGTGCAATGTGTTTGGTGGGAAAAAAACTCTTAATAGATGGTAGAAGTTAGGTCTAAAAAGCGCGTTTACGTGAAGTTAGGAATCGTAACTTTTAAAATTGCGTTACGGGTAGAAGTCCATGTTTTTAGGTAACTAATTTTTTTTTAGACAACTTAATCCCTTTATATTTTTTATAAATACAATTTTATCCCTTCTACAAACAAATAGCAAACAATATCTAGACTCTGTAACAAACAAAGATCCTAGTTTATTTTGGGACTCTCTAGCCGCCTTCCAATTTTAAATCAGATACAAATTAATCATACAATATGTCACCAAACGTTTAAGTGCATTTTACTAGCAGTAATTTTATAACAACTCTACTATTAAAAGCGCTTTTAACATTCTAACAGTAAGTGTTTGTGCTTCTGAGATTATACCTTTCCTCTTTTTCTTTTTATTATATTGTTTTATAAATATTGTTAAATAAGTGGTTCTCAAGGGACAAACAGTATATAATCTACAGTTGCACTACTTTCTTGTGGTTTGTTATTGTTTGGATAATAAGATCGGAGTTCTTATAGGTTAGGGTTGTTCACATAAAATCAATGTTGGTATTTTCATTGTTTCTAGTTTGCTTGATTCCACAATTAATTTAATTATTTGCTCACAACTTAGTTAATTGATTGATTCAGATTATGTGAATCAAAAATTGAACAATAATCAATTGAAATTTATTCATCTAAAATTTTGGTATTGCCTTTTTCTTCTATTCATGTAGTATTTCGTTCCTCTGCAAAAAAACCATCTTATGCATTACACTGTGCAAAAAACATGGTATACATGATGTAAGGGAGAATAAACTAGGAGCAGTAGAAGACCAAACAAGTCCATAGGATATGGTGAAGAAAAGGGCACAAGTAGCTCTCTAAGATGATGAAGCACTAATTTGCAATGCAACTAGGGAGGCATAAATACCATCTTTGATATTCATCAAACTTTCATGCTTTCCCTTCTCTATAATGACTCCATTTTTAACCACTGCAATCAAATCTGCACCCCTAATTGTCGATAGCCTATGAGCCACCACCACTGTGGTTCTGCCCACCATAACTCGGTCCAGTGCATTTTGCACCACTTTCTCGGATTCAGTATCTAGGGCACTGGTGGCTTCATCCAATAGTAGTATCTTTGGATCCTTCACCATGGCACGTGCAATGGCCACCCTTTGCTTCTGTCCACCGGACAATTGGATCCCCCGTTCACCTACAGCTGTATCATAGCCCTGCATTTTCATAACTCAGTAAGATGGATATTTTTTGGCATTAATCAAGAATCCGAGAATGGTGGAAAAAAAGGAAGCAAATGTGCTATTACTTTTGAACATGAATAACAATAATGCTTTCCTAACAATGTATTATTGTCAATACTATTAGATTACCTCCAATTGTTCATTTTAGGTGTTTCTAAATTTAGAAGTTCACTATAATTAGAGTGTTTTCACCTCTTGTAGAGCACTGACGAAATTATGAGCATTTGCTAACTCTGCTGCAGCTAAAATTTCTGCTTCTGTTGCATCTCCTTCCTTTCCGTATGCTATGTTGGCTCGGACTGTGTCATTGAACAAGACTGGTTCCTGGCTCACCAAGCCCATCTGCTGTCTTAACCATTTCAGCTTTAGCTTTTGGATTTCAACACCGTCTAGGGTGATTTGACCGGATTCGGGGTCATAAAATCTTTGCAACAAAGAAATCACTGTTGATTTCCCACTCCCACTTTCTCCAACCAGGGCAACAGTCTGATAAATAAGATTCAGACGGTTAGTTTTGGAATGCGATTATGTCAAACTGTAGGAGAAATATATATATAAATATATATATGTGTGTGTGTGTGTGTGTGTGTGTGTATCAACTTGTGTAAGGCTTGCATCAAGCAAAAGAGAAGTGTAGGCTTTGAGAATTAGTCATACTAGAAAGTTACCTTGCCAGAGTGAATGGCCAAGAAAAGGTCCCTGAAAATTTGAATGTCAGGCCTAGTGGGATACTTGAAACTGACATGATCAAACTTAATATCACCCTTCACATTTTCTAGTGTTGTTCCAGAGTCGACACTCGCGTCTATTTTGGATTTCTGGTCAAGAATCCCAAAGATAGAAACAACAGCACTCTTGGCCTTACTGAGATCAAGTGCAAGGGAGCCTGATTGAGAAATACCAGCAGCTGACATGCTGAGGCCAAAGAAGACCTGCAAACCAAGACAGTAGGTAAAGATTCAAAATGTAAATAACAACAAAAAACTATTTTAGTAAAATGAACATTAAGATGATAGTATGAATTGATTTCTAGTGCATATATGGTTGTGAAAAGCTTGATTACCTGGAAAACATTAGCGAATGTTGTCTTACCCTGATCAACAAGCCGAGCTCCAGCATAGAAACTGGTCGCATAGACACAGTATAGAAAAAAATAGGACAATCCAAAACCTGTACCACTAATTAGGCCTTCTCTTTCTCCTGTTTTCATAGGGCCTTCACATTTCTTTTGGTATAGTTGCATCACCTTCTCTTCAGCACAGAAAGAAGCAACTGTTCTAATACTCCCAACTGCATCACTAGCAATTTGACTTGCGTCCTCATATGTTTTCTGTAAGCATTTAAATAGTTGCAGCTTATTACAACGGGCTAATTACACTAAACTCACAGCCTATGTTAGATAGTTTAAAAAGAAAATATAACATATAGGAAAAAATTGGTAAACTTCTACATTCCAATTGCCCTTTTTTTTTCTTTTTCTTTTTTTTTTTCCTATTGGCCGAGGTTTGGATCTAACCTTTGCATCAACACTGAATCCTCCCATGTACTTCTTTTGAAAGTATCCATTTAGTCCTAATAGAGGAATCATGACAAGAATTATAATAGCCAGTTGCCAGCACGCTGCAAAAGCAAAAATCAAACCAGCAATAGCTGTTGCAACATTCTGAACGATCAAAGAAAGTGTGTCTCCAACCAAACTTCGCACAAAAGTGGCATCAGAAGAAAGCCTAGCGCCAATTGCTCCACTGGAGTGCTCTGCTTCATCAAACCAACTTATATTCATGTGAACCACTTTCTCAAAGCACATCAATCGGATCCGTTTTATTAACTTACACCCCGCCACAGCAAAAGAGTATGTTCTTAGTGGGACACAGAATAAAGACGCCACGCCAAGAACAAGAAACATGCATGCCCAGAATTTTGAATCCTTCCGAAGTTCATGAGCTGGCTCATAGAAGGTTTTGATTACTTTAGAAAGAAGTGCCCCAAAAATTGGTAAAACTAGACCCGTGGCCACAGCACCCACTGAACCTAGCAATAGCACAGGGATCTCCGGCTTGTTCAGATAAGCCAATCGTCGCAGTGGCACTTCTGGGGCCTTTTGTGATGGTGCTGAGGCTAAAGTTTTGGGTTCTACATCTGTATCAAGGACACCGACTGCAGTAGTTCGATGTAAAGATACTGATAATGAGTGATGGCTACTGTTTCCAGATGATCCCCGGCTTATGGATCGTATGAAGGACCTCCTCTGACTTGAATGTCTTCCAAAGTCTGCTGTGATCTCTGGCATGTACGGATCATTTACTGCATTTTTTTCTGACTCTTGGCTATGTTCTTGCAACCGTATAAGCTGGCAATATGCTCCTTCAGGATCTTGTAGTAGTTCAGAGTTTGAACCTGATCAATTGTGAGGATTTAAAATTCAGAAAAATCATAAACATAGATGGAAAGCCTAATAAAGCTCAGGTGGTGAGAGATATAAAGCATCAACAATTTAATTGTTTCAAAACATGAACCTTTTTCAACAATTTTTCCTTGATGAATGACAGCAATCATATCTGCATTCTTCACTGTACTCAAGCGATGGGCTACTATTACAGTAGTTCTGTTGATCATAACCCTGTCCAACGCCTCTTGCACAACCCTCTCAGACTCTGCATCAAGAGCACTTGTAGCCTCATCCAGAAGTAGAATCCTTGGGTCTTTCAAAATTGCTCTAGCTATAGCAATTCTCTGCTTTTGGCCCCCAGACAGCTGATTTCCGTGCTCACCAACCTGCGTGTCTAGTCCCTAAATCATTAAACACAAAGCTGGAAAGGTTACAAAGGTGACTAGAAAAAATTAAAATGGGTTCTGGTAAATTAATTATTAGTTAAATCACCAACGGGCCAGTGGCCTAGCAGTTTCAGCCTCTTACTTCCCAAAGAGAGATCAGGGGTTCAAGTCTTAGAAGAGACGTGTGTGTGAATATCAACTAGGAAAAAAAAAATTATAAGTTAGAATCCTTCTAAGACACAAATTAAAAATAAAGTTGTTGAGCAATAACTCTTTTGATTAAGAGGTAACAAGTAAACCTTTTAAAGTTTTTCTGCTTATTTTTGGGGGAAAGGCTGATATATTTCCTACATTAGCAAATAAAGTCTGCCATATTCAGCAAATCTTTCAATAAGAGATGTGATTTTGATTTAAAAACTGAAATGGAAAAGGAAAAAATAAATTTTCCAACAATTTCAGATCTAGACCTCAGGCAATTTATCTATGAACTTGGCAACATTGGCTAGCTTAGCAGCAGCTTTGATTTCTTCAATGGTTGCACCGTCCTTCCCATATGAAATATTATCTTTAATGCTTGAAGTGAACAACACAGGTTCCTGGCTAACTAGACCAATTTTTCCTCTTATCCACCAAAGCTGGAACTCTTTAAGATTGATACCATCTATAAGAACTACACCAGCTTGTGGATCGTAAAACCTCTCTATCAAGCTGATTACTGTTGATTTCCCGCTTCCACTTTGTCCAACCAAAGCTGCAGTTGTTCCACTTGGCATCGAGAGGCAAAATCCATTAAATATTGGCTCATCTGGTCTTGTTGGATAGCTAAAATAAACATCTTTTAATTCAATATTGCCACCAATATCATCCAATTTCAGTCCATTCGTGTCATAAGGATCTATCTCTGACTTCCTGTTGATTGTCTCAAACATTTTAAAAGCTGCAGCTCGTCCAGCAGCAAATGCACTCATGCATGGAGATGCCTGTCCTAAAGAACTGTAAAATTCCAAATGGGATAGAAATTAAGTGAACTTTTCAAAAGAATCAAATATCAAATCCAAGCAATGCATTTACAAAAGCAGAGGTTCATGCATTCATTCTTTAACATAGTAGCCAAACTGTTGGAAATTGAGAAGAAAAGCAAAGGGCAACTCACAAGGAGCCAGTCAGCACAGCCATAACTACATTGAGTACATCTCCTCCTGTATAATCTTTGTTTATTATCATTTTTGACCCAAACCATATAGCCAAAGCATAAGAGCTGTATACGACAAACATAAATACACCAGCACTCAACCCGGAAGCCAAGCCCTCTTGCACACCAGATTTGTAAGCTTTAATAAGAGACTTATTGTAATTAGCTATAGCTTGCCTCTCCCCAGTAAATGATGCAACCTGAATGGGAAAGTAAAGGGTGATGAAAAAAAAAAGGAAATGCTAAGCCCTCTTTTTGTCAATTTCTGCATACCGTTCTTATTGAGCCAATTGTCTGTTCGACCACAATTGCAGCTTGTGAATAACCAACTTGTCCACTGGATTTAAGCTTCACTAAAAGGAGGGTCAGGATAGCACTAGAGATGACAAGAAGTGGAATTGAAGATATCATGACGAGGGTGAGAAGCCAACCCTTGATGAAAGCTATAACAAAGCCTCCCAAGAATGAAGCTACCACCACTAGAAACTTCCCAACCTGTCGTAAATACTTCAATAAGAAAAGTACCTATTTAACCTAAAATAGGAATAGAGTACCGGCATTGCTAATAATGGTCGGGCTCCCTTGGTATGGTAGCAATACCTTTTCACCAATGGCATCTTGAATAAGGAAGGCGTCTCCTGACATCCTATCAATAATTTCTCCGGTTTTACCCTCCGAGTCAAAGAATGCAATATCTTGCTTCAATATAGTTTTTAAGTATAAACATCTAATTCTTGCAGCCTGCCTCTCCCCAGTGATCATCCAGCAAACCACCTCTGTGATGTAGCAAGCATGTTTTTCTCAGTTTCTTTAATCAAAAACAATTATTTACATGAGGTAGCTAGAAAACTAAATTCTTTTTTCAGAAAGAAGCCAGATGCACTTACGGAAAAATGCTGCTAAACCAGACCCCAGAGCCAAGTAAACATACTTAACAGATACCTGAAATAAATTTTATACTGTTTGTTAGGAGCTTAAATCAATAACTGATTTTACTAATACAATAATCGTTCTACTACAACAGGATGGAGAACAAACAAATTGATGAAATTCAGGCGTAAATGACCGGAACAAAACAATTTTTTTGACAATTAGGCAAGAACTGGTCTTGTTATGGGGGAGTGATTATCAAGTTTAAGCTAAAGATACCTTGGAAACTTCATGAACCACATTTTTTGAGTTCACATTATGTCCAAAGGAATTGATTACATCTCCAATGAGCACAGTCATAAGGGGCATGCAGATTCCATTCCCTATAGCTGCGATTGTGCCCACAAGCATTAGTACATGATCAGTGGAGTCAGCAAAGGAGAACAGTTTGAAATATGGAACAGTTTCAGTGACTTCATTTTTCTTTCGGGTATTATCCGAATTATCTTGGCTGCAAGACTTTTCAGCTGTTTTCTGAGTCTCCATCACTGGTGAATGGTTTTTTGATGTTTCAGCCTGTTCTGTCTTCTTATCTCCACTCAAATTGCTCTCCTCAGCCATCTTTCCAAATGCTGTTTGCTATCACTACGTTGGTGTACTTAGATCACAGCCGTAAAAGAAGAACATATATTTGAATCAGAAATCTAAAATAGTGGAAAGCTGTAAAGTACTACCAGGAGGAAACTGAAATTCAATGACATTAATTATGAACAAATGTTTTTGTTGAGATGACTTCTTAATTATGAGACATAGTTATTCTTTCTTTAATTTAGTGTTACAATACTTTCGGACATTTATAGGCTCTGGAGCAGCAACCATATTAAAACTGAAATCCTCAATAGATTAGCGGGAAAAATAAAATGTTGAACCTCAAAATTAAGCCTACAGCTTTAATCCCACACAACCAGCAACCATAGAAAAACTGAAATCTTTACGAAAAAGATAGGCTACCTTTGACATTTAGGCTCCGTTTGTTTCGACGCAAAAGAAATTTTCAGAAAATATTTTTATTTTTTAGGTAAAATATTTCTTTTTATTTGTACTTTTCAGCGTTTGGCAAAGGTTTAGGTCAAGATTGAAGTCGAGTCCTTCATACGGGACGTATAAAATAACTTACAAAAAATTGATATATAAATCTTTTTTGTAAAATTTTAATATATTTTTCTTTTGTAAATATTTTACGACAACCAAACACCAAAAAATAAAAAAATATTTTCTGAAAAATATTTTACTTCCAAACAAACAGAACCTTAAAGAAAAAACAAAGTGATATTAATTGTTTAATAAAAACAAACATCAAAATTTATAAAAATAATAATTATAAGTGAAAATAATAATTCTATTATGAGAAACTCACAATTTGGTTAAATAAGTGACCTTATATTTTCTGAAAAATATTTTACTTCCAAACAAATGGAGCATTAAAGAAAAAACAAAGTGATATTAATTTTTTAATAAAAACAAACATCAAAATTTATAAAAATAATAATAATAAGTGAAAATAATGATTCTATTTTGAGAAACTCACAATTTGGTTAAATAAATGACCTTATAATTAAGAATCCTCCCTCCCGGGAAGAAAAAAATGCGAGACATTGAGCAAAGGTGGTGTTCTTCTATCTATTTTTTGGCACTACACAAAACCATCATTATTTTTTTTTTCCCCCCAGTAAATGGAAGACAGATAGAACACAAAACCATCAACATATATCTAAGGCAACGATAACAAGTCATAGAAATTTAAAGGTTTCAAGACATGCTGGACACAGAAAAGGCACAAGACTATTCCATGAAAAATAAGAGAAGGCTGAAAAGGGAAAAGGAAAAGAATTTATCCAACCTGCAATCATTTGAAACATAGAGCTTGAGTGCCACTTTGAATTATCAACTGCTGGTTCTTGTGGGAAATAAAATCACAGAAACCATAATTTGTAATATATAGAGTAGACTTAGACCAGAGAGTGAAGGAAATGATGAATTAATCAAAATCAGAACAAGTTGATATCAGAAGTATCATCAACTTTAAACTCACCAAAATATGAAAAAATGGTTACCTGTGATGGATTCCAGCTTTTGTGGAATCTGCCTTTGATTGTGGGATCCAACCTTTCACATTTGTATGTTTCTCATCCACTTTTCTAAGCAACCATTGCTTGGTAACTAAAAAACTGTGGTCTAATGGATACCGGCTAATGAGATTATGGGATTTCTTCAATAAATAGATTAAAAATATAAAGTCAATTTTTAGCCAATAAATATAATAATATACAATTATTACTCTAATATAGAGTAATAATATACCTTTCCAAGGTCAGACATCTAAATTACCTATAAACATAATATCATCAAATGAATAACACAGCAATAGTAATTAGTAAACATAATATACATTCAACTCTAATCATTTTCATCATCTATGTTTGTTTAATCATTCCAAGCCAGCACCATCAATTTCATTCAAAGGATGGGGAAATGCAACTATCAGCTTATTAGAATAAGATTGTCCCCGTCCAACCCACATCGTTATAGTAACAGATTTTGTTACTAAATAAATGTCTTATTAGGAAATAGACAAATAAAATATATACATATAGATATGTTGATTTATATGTGTACAATGCAGGCTAAATATATAATCTTATTGTTGATTTTTTGGGAATTATGCACCCTTGTTTAAAAAAGATCATATAGCATATATATATCCATAGAATTCATATTTTGGAAGTACCTAAAACATAATAAAAGAAGAGTATGGTAGTCAAAATTTAAACGACGGAAGCGAGCGCGGCTAAAAGGAAGATGAGGGTGTGGACTGGGTCAAGGGTTCAATTTTTACTGTTTGTAGATGGTTACAAATTTATTAAAGAGCCAAGTCTATCATCAGGGTGCTCTCATGAAGTGTATGATTAAAATAGTTGCTAAACTACACTTGATGACAAAGCATTAATTCATATCATGTGATCAATCTTTAAGAAGATGTGGAAAACCATAACCAGATTCTTATATAAGCATTGGCTAAGACAGCATTTCATATAAAATATTTAGGAAAGCTATTTAAGCATTTAAAAAGCACAATTATGTTCTTCCCTTTTCTTTTTCCTTTTTTCTTTTCTTTATGGGTCACAAAACCATCTACTGATTGGTGGTCATAAATTGGAGTGCTCAATTTTACCACTTTACTAGTTGATGGTTTGGATATTGCGGTGGTGGTGGTGGTGGTGGTGATGATGAGAGAGAAAGAAACGGAGATAGAAAAGGGTAATTTTGTCTCTTAATATATGTATTGTAATTTGATGATACTATAAGGGTAATATATATATATATATATATATATATATATATATTAATTTGATGACACTATAAGGGTAATAGGGTCTTTTCCTTTTAATTAAAGGGCATTGTGGGTATCAAAGTAATTTTGAAAACAAATTCAATTTTATTAGGGTTTTTATGCACGAATTTGAAACCAAAGGGGAGGGTTTTGTGATTTTAACCAAAAAATATATGCACATTTTGTGAGGGGCAAAATAGGAATAAAAAGGGTAAAATCGGGTTTTCATATTTACTTTTTGCCAAAAAGTTGTCAGATGGGCTTATTTACACATTTTTTTAATATTGTGGACTGAAATGCATATTTTCAAAAAGGAGGAACTCATTGTGTATAGGAAGTTTTTCTGCACTTAACCCTTACAAATTTATTAAGAGACAAGTCTATCATCAGGGTGCTCTATCATCAGGGTGCTCTCATTATGTATATGATTAGAGTAGTTGTTCAACTACACTTGATGACAAAGCATTAATTCATATCATGTGATTAATCTTCAAGAAGATATGGAAAACTATGGCGACCTTGTGGATGGGTGTGTGTGAGCCTATGCAGGTGGCACCAGTAGGCTACTACACTTGGCGAGTTATAGGTGTACAATCCCAAATCGCCTGAGTGTGGATGAGGCAAGTACTATATGTAGATTAAACACCCTTCTATGATACAACGCGTTTTAAAGCCGTGATAATCGTGAACCCACTAGAATTCCGAAGTTAAACGTGTTTAACCTGGAGAAGTACCAGGATGGGTGACCCCCTGAGAAGTCTCTGGTCTCGGGGAGCCAAAAGCGGATAATATTGTGTCTGGATAGGGTGAGGGTCGTTACAAATGGTATCAGAGCCTGACTCAGCCGGAAATGCGGCCAACGTGGACATTGGGCCCCAAAGAGGGGGTAATTGTGGCGACCTTGTGGGGTGGATGTGTGTGAGCGTGTGCAGGTGGCACCAGTAGGCTATCACACTGGACGAGCTACAAGTGCACAATCCCACATCGCCTGGGTGTGGATAGGGCAAGTGTTATATGTAGATTCAACATCTTTTTATGACACAATGCATCACCTAGAGTAGTACCAAGATGGGTGACCCCTTGAGAAGTCTCTGGTCTCGGGGAACCAAAAGACACAGACAATATTGTGTCTAGATAGGGTGAGGGTCATCACAAAAACCACAACCAGATTCTTAATATAAGTATTGGCTAAGATAGCATTTCATAGCAAATATTTAGGAAAGCTATTTAAGCATTTAAAAAGCACAATTATGTTCTTCCCTTTTCTTTTTCCTTTTTCTTTTCTTTATTGGTCACAAAACCATCTACTGATTGGTGGTCATAAATTGGAGTGCTCAATTTTACCGCTTTACTATTTGATGATTGTCTTTTAAAAAAAACAAAAAAAAAACAAACTTTGTGTTCCTCTTTTTTGGGTTTGGATATTGCGGTGGTGGTGGTGGTGGTGGTGAGAGAGAAAAAAACGGAGATAGAAAAGGGTATTTTTGTCTCTTAATATATATATTGTAATTTGATGACACTATAAGGGTAATATATATATATATATATATATATATATATATGAAAATATGCAAGTTAACAACAGAACATGAATAACTTTGAAAAACTTTTGATTAAAATATGGAACTTACAACTTTGATCTTTGAATACAACACTTTTGTTCTGAGCCGAGCTCCTTGGATGAAGTAAAACTAAAAACTTAAACTTAAAAATTACAATTTGAACTGAGAACTTTTGAAATGGAAACTAAAATCTAAACTTGAAAATTGAGCCTGCCTCCAATGTCTTAAGGAGCTGTTATTTATTGGGCCTCAAAAGAGCCTTGGGGAGCTTTGGATTCCTTGGAGATAAGGATGCTACAGGAGGCCATGTGCAAAGCCTGAAAGGCTGATTTGAGGTGATGTCTTCTGAATGATGCTGGAAGCCATGTGCAAAGCCTGAAAAGCTGAATTGAGGTGATGGCCACTGACTTGCCTTGGATTCCTTTTTTGAAAAGCTTGTCTGTCATGAACACCGAAAGGTGCTAAAAGCCTGAAAATGGAGAACTGCTGAATAAAATTTTAAACTGTAGTTTTTGCCCTTTTTTTTTTTTTTTTTTTTTTTTTTTTTTGTCGCTATGCAGCAGCATTGAATGACCGAGGTCAGAAGCTTTTTTTTGAAATGAAATGATGATTTTTGAGAATATTATTTACTGGAGCTGTTGGGTAAAAATACCAAAACAGTCATCTTCATTGGGTTGGGCCAGATCTGTTTGGGAACCATGGAAAGAACCTGAGCCTTCACTTCTGTTGGAGCCCAATTTTGAGAAGGCTATGGGATTGACTTGGGCTAGAGCTTCCATGAGGAAGGCTTCATACTCATCTTGGGATTTTGCTGAAGAAAGCTTTGCTTGGGCCTGGATTTTGGATAGGAAGAAAGCCGAAGACTCACCTAAGCCAGAACATGATATTGCAGGGTGCTTTGAGAACCATTCAGAAATTGCTTCTGGAGTAACATCTTTGATAGAGAATTGATCCCACCATTTGATTTTGAAAATCCTTCCTAGAAGAGGAAGATTAGAAGGGGTTTTGAGGATTTGGAATTGCCATAGAACTATCCATGACAATGCGAAATTTACAAAAAATAAGAATGATTTGGGAAATTCGGAAAGCTCAGGAGGAGCATGGAATTTTTCATTGAAAATTGAAAATCCCTTGGACACCGTTTCAGGGATGATTTTTTGGCAGGGACCAAACATATGCCACCAGTCAATGAACCATGTGGGGACATTTAGATTGAAATTCTTTTGGAAAAGGATAAGCCAGGAATGGCTATAATCCTGATTTTGGAAATAAAAAGTATTGTACCAGGCATCCTGATAGTCTCAGTAATTGAAAGTTTGAGGGTTACGAGGTTGAGAAAATTACCTCGGAGCATTGATGTTTTTACCCCAGGCTGCTGGAGTAAGGACTTTTTGAATGGTACATGTGGTGTGAGAAATGAAAGACTCATCACCTGGTTTTGAATGAGTTCGAATTTTGATGGAATCAGTGTCCACT